GTGGGGGAGGATATACAATTAGGAATCACAGGAATTACAATTCCCCAGGCCTGCAGGGATTTTTCTTAAACCCACCCCCCCAAACTAAAATTAGAAATAGTTACATAGTATAATTTATTTAATTTGATTTTTTTTTAATATAAAAATTGATTGGCAAGCAAAAGAATGAAAGACCTAACAACTTGCTGTCATTGCTCTTGGGGAAAAAATAATTTAATTCATCCAACTGTCTGATTTTTTTTTTCAAGTTCCCAAGTTCATTTCTGAACTTGGGAAGAAATAAAAATTCCAACAGAAGTTAGAAAGTAGGCTGAGAATGAACAGAATGGTCTTACCGAGTGTGTAGAAGTCAGTTATGATAATTTCTATAACAGAGAAATCTGTTCTGCACATGATTAGGGATATTTCAGGGGCAAAGGACCATTTGTAAGGTTGTGGCATAGATTTATTCAAGCCTATACCCAAGACTCTAGTCAACCAAAGTTCAACACTAAATTGGCACCAGATAAGGGTCAACACCAGATAAGGGGTTGGACGTGGAGCGCTGATGGGAAGTGCGAAGACTCTAAGCTGATGACGCACTTAACTCCACCCCCACCACTCTTCTTCTACATCATGGGTATCAAACGTGCGGAGTCACATGGTCATCACGTGACATATTGCAATGTTTTTTCCCTTCGCAAAACTGGGGTGGGTGTGGCCTGCGCTTGACGCATCCAGTCCACGGGCCGACCGTTTGACACGGGCTACCAGTCTGTTCTAAATTATACTTTCATTTTGATAGCTGTGATTCAAGGCAAACTTTGTCATGAGAGATAAGTCATTTCCTCCCAACACTCACAAGGCAATGATGTTTGGCAAAGAAGAAAATCTGTGGTTGACAAACCAGAAAGGGCTGCCAGTTTTCCCTCCCTGAGCTTCTTTACTCATTTTGCTATTATGTTTTGGTTTGATAAACGTATCTTTATTACCTGGGAACCATCTTCAAAACACACTTTTTCTTAAAATTCATCATATGCCTTTAAGGAACATAAACTTGCTGACACTTAGCAAAACTGGATCTAAATCTGGAGAGGAGATTATCCTGCAGAAATAGCTGCTTTGAATTCCACAATGGAAAAAGAAGGGAGAGATAAATTTCCACTTCTAGGCAAACATGGAGATTTCCAAGGCATTTATATAATAACAACATAAAAACCAGGAGTGAGTAAGTAAAATAACTCGCTTTTCCAATTTGTGAAGACCTAGTATTTTATTGGTAGGATCTCTACTGCTTTCTCCCCCCTTTGCCAAAATTTGAAGTGGAACTCTTTCTTTTAGCCTAGATTCGCTTCCTTCCATCTTTCTTCTACTCTGGTCCCAAGCAGCTTCTGTGGTCCTTTACAGCAGACTTCCTTGATTCTTTCCACCAAATGTGGCCACCTAGTTAGTTGTGGTCTCTTACCTGCGAGCAAAGGGAAAGCTGGCAGAGGCACCTGTGGAGAAATTGCGAGGACTATCAACTGGACTGCTACTGGCTGCAGGGAGAGAGGAGGAGATAGGACAGGGTCAGGACAAAAGAAAACAATGGACTTTTATTAAAGATTCAAAGGGTATAGAAGAAACCAAGAGATCTTGAATACCACTCAAAAACTTAAACTTGATAGGAATGGGTGCTTGAAGATTTATCCATCAAATACCTCTATTCCAGGAATGTCTATGGAGATTCTCAGTCATTCAGGTCATAGTTGTCCCAAAGCTGCTTTTTTCAAGAGGCAACTGGACTTTCTGGTTTTTCTTTGAAGACGTTTTGCTTTTCATCAGAGCGAAACGTCTTCAAAGAAAAACAGAAAGTCCAGTTGCCTCTTGAAAAAAGCAGCTTTGGGACTCTACTCTAGGAATTACACTGACTGCTGGTCAGCTTCTCTGAGCAATTCAAGTGCAGATTACTACATGAAAGTCCTACATGGCTCAAGACCTGATTATCTCTGAGACTGCCTACACCAATGTGAATCTGCCAACCAGATAGATCTTGGAGAGAATTTCATCCCATGAAATTTCCACTTACAGAGAGCCTGTCTCAGGATCTTCTCACTGTGGCCGCCCTTATTGTGGAAAAGCTTTTATCTTTCCTGATAAAGAACACTTTGTTATAGACACCCCCTAATGAGTGTTCACAAAAAACATGGCTCTAGGAAAGAGTGTAAGGAGGAATATTAGCTGCTGGTATCTACCTATGTTACTCAGGGCACCAAAGACACATTCGTGGCCCGTGGCCCGGATCTGGCCCACAGAGTGCTTAGATCTGGCCCACAGGGCCACCCTGGAAACAGCGAAGGACCGGCTCGTGGTGCCTCTGCTAGCAAAAACAAAGCTCAGGAGGACCTTGCCGTCTGAGACTGTTTTCGGGTGTGACAGCCTTCTGCAGCCCTCTGCCAGCGAAAATGGAGTGTGGGGATGGGTGGGAGCCATGACTGCAGGAAGCTGTTGTGACTGAAAATAGGGCTCACGGCAGCCACATATACCACCACCCTTGAGCTCCATTTTCTCTGGCAGAGGGCTGCAGGAGGCCATCATGGCCAATAATGGAGCTTGGGAGCCTGTTTTCCCTGGCAAAGTGCTCAAGCTACCACAGTCATCCCCGATACGAGTGACGTCAAATGTCCACACCCATCCCAGCCATGCCCCCCTCCCCCAAGGTCAAACACAATCCTGATGCATCCCTCAATGAAATTGAGTTTGATTCCCCCTGGCCTAGAACCAGTGGCAAACAGCACATTCTGCCTCCAAGACTTAAATATCAGCCAAAAGCATTCCCCCAGGAATGGAGTGGAAAGTCACAGTCAGAAGCATCAGCCACTGAACTTGAGAAAGGAAGTGATTCACTGTTGCCCTAAGCACAATTCACAATGACCTGGGATCCTTTTTCATGGCTGCTTGGCTCTAGGAAAGAGCCTAAGGGGGATATTGGATGCTGGTATCTACAGTACCTATGTTAGTGCTATTATAATATTAAATATTATTTTGCTGTGTTAATCTTCTGGGGTTCTTTTTCTATATATACCACTATGAAACATTGGGAGTTGAGCAGCATAGAACTGCTAGTAAGTAAATAAATAAATGAATATTTTAAAAAGTGGTTAGTCTCTGATTTTATTGGCTACACACACACGCGCTAATTTTCTCACTCAACAAAACTTCCATCATGAATGAAGCAGAGGAATCAAGCATCTCATGGAAAAGAAAATGTGTATGTCAGCCCAACCCATTCATGGTGACTCCAGGTGGCTTGCAGAAATAAAAACCCAAACTCAATAAATCTCTACCCCATCCCACCACACCTCACCCCCAGTGACAACAAGCAAATCAACCACTTGATGGGCTCCATTTCATCCTGAGATCTCCAGGCTCCCTGGCAAAATCATGTCTTCAGGACCTTTTCAAACAGAGTCAAAGGGTGGTGGTGGTGTCAATCTTAATTCCACAAGGATGATGTTACACAGGGAGAGAGCCACCATGGAGAAGGCCCTTTTTCTTGGTCGTACTAGATGGGCCTTCTTAAGAGAGGGGATCTATAACATATCCTCCTCCCTGCTCTGGTGGTTGGGCAGATATAATAAGGGAAAAGATGGTCCTTCATTTAATCTTAACCCAGAGTACATGATATTGGCCATCTTTTGAAAATAACACAAGAGATTATTTCACTAGGACTCTCTTCCCACAACTCAGAATGCAGTACCAAGATATTCTTCACCATAGACCTGAGTCCGGTCTACCACTTTTCATGTCTTGGTAGGGATATCCGTCCTCTGTTCCTCCAACAAAGAAATTTTCCTAATTTGGCATACACTTACCTGTTGGCACAGAGAGGGGCGACAAAGGACGTGAGAGGGTAGGCGAAGGTGTTCCAACCACTAGGCTCTTCCTGTTGCTTCGACAGCTGCAAAAGCAGGACAAATAATATTATGCCAGGGACAAGGTTTCATAGGCAGCAAGTATCACCCAGATCTTCGGGGTGGGAAAAATTCAGAATATTATGGGCGTTAATGATATATTCTTAACTACCAAGGATAATGGAAAAGGGAATGAAAGTTTAAATAGTTACTGGCTGGGGAATTTTGGGTTGAAGTTGAAGTCCACACACCTTAAAGTTGCTGAGGTTGAGAAACAATGATCCAAAGACCATGGCCATGATGAATGAAACACATGCAAATTAATGGAACACTTCAATGCAAGAGCCGCTTTTTCAGTCAACTGAACAAAAAGTTATGATCCTGGCACCAGGGTCCCTGTTCCATTTGTTGAAAGAAAATTAAATGGGAAGTGTGTCGACACAGACCATTGCCTAGAACAGGGGTGTCAAATTCAAGGCCTGTGGGCCGGATCTGGCCTGCAGGATGCTTAGAGATGGCCCATAGGGCCACCGTGGAAATAGTGAAGGACTGACCCATGGTGCCTCCGCTAACAAAAACAAAGCTTGGAGGGCCATGCGCGGCCCACCCAGGCTGTTTTCAGCCCCAACGGCCTCCTGCAACCCTCTGCCAGGGAAAATGGAGCATGTGTCTGTCTCTGTGTGTGTGCATGCATGCAACTGCAGAAGGCCATTGTGGATGAAAATGGGGCCTGGAGGAACCGTGCGTACCCTCCAACTCCGTTTTCAATGGCAGAGGGCTGCAGGAAGCCATCGTGGCCAAAAATGGGGCCCGGAGGAGCCGCATACACACACCCCCGAGCTCCATTTTCTCAGGCAGAGGGCTACAGGAGGCTGTCACAGCCCAAAATAGAGCTCGGGAGCCTGTTTTCCCTGGCAGAGTATTCAGGCCACCACAGGTGCCCCCCCCCCCCGCCTGACATGAGTGACGTCAACCTGGCCGCTCCCACCCTGGCCATGACCACCCTGGCCCTCCAAGGTCAAGCATCACCCTGATGCAGCCCTCAATGAAATTGAGTTTGACCCCCCCTCCCGGCCTAGAACCAGTGTCAGACAGCACATTCTGCCACCAAGACTTAAATATCAGCCAAAAGCATTCCCCCAGGAATGGAATGGAAAGTCACAGTCAGAAGCATCAGCCACTGAACTTGAGAAAGGAAGTGATTCACTGTTGCCCTAAGCACAATCCACAATGACCTGGGATCCTTTTTTAAAATATATATTTTATTCATT